AAAATAATAATAAATTGAGTTCAGAGTAAAACATAGAGAAATCTAATTATGTGAAATAATATTACACTTATACAAATATCCTGTCATCTTATATAAATTACCGAGTAAATAAAAATGTAACAGCAACTGAAATACAACAATAACTTGATATTATGATGAATTATCTCTAAGATATTAGTGTAGCTAATGAACCTATGTATAAAGTATCATCTAATTCAGTAAATTTGAATTTTGGATTCTTAACATCTAAATTAGCTACTGATGCTATTGGTTCTTCAATCAAAGATAATAGTAGAAATAGATTATTGGAGGAAGAGTTAGAGAATACTAATTAAAATTATAGCAATTCAACAAATTTTTTCAAATTCTCATAAACTCGTTTTATTGATAATCCATTTTACAGTTAAGCTGGATTTCCTAAAAATAGTAGTGGTTATTCGGCTGTTGATCCTAAATTATATGTTAAGAATACAAGTATTGAAACTAAAAATATAACATCTAGTATGAAGATGAAATTTCAAACAACAAAATAATTGGCTCCAAATACTTCAACAAAATGTATAGCATAAATAAATTCGGGTAATTGGAATGCTAATGTTTGTAAAACAAAAAAAGCCGATGGAGAAACAATTTGTGAATGTGAATCATTAAATCCTACATCAATAATGGAATCATTAGATTATTTACTTGATAAAGCTTCTCAAGTATACTCATTAGATACACTACTTGCATTTGCATCTTTTCCATTTTATAAAACTATAGCATTCTACTTTTATTTATTTATGACTGGAGGATATGCTTATTTTGTTTATTGGGGTATGAAAGTAGATCATGTTTTTTACACTAGACTAGCAGCAGAAAAAGAAGCTAAAGAGGCTTTAGAAAAGTAGCTTAAGGAGGAAGAAGAAAAATTGAAAGAAAAAGAACAAGAATAAATATTAAAATAAGAAGATATTAACAATAAAGAAAATCAAGATGGAATACAAGTTGAATAATTCGATACTTAAAATGATGAAAATTAAAGTAAAGCTATTTTGGGACAATAAGATTTCAATGATGTTTAAATTAATTAAGAAATTGGAGGTACAATCTTTAACAAAGATAAAGAACCAAAATTAACATAGATAGAGGATAATATAGTAAGAGAGTAGGTACCAACTTTAGTGGATTTAAATGAGCAATTTTAACTTATATAACCTTAGATAAATTTTATGTAAGAAGACGCATAAATGGTTAATGATAATCCTCATCTTACTGTTGATGGATAAAATGATACATTCAAATCACAAATTTCTCCTGAAAATAAGATTGATAATTATCCCTCTGCTTAACCTCTTTAATAAGATGAGGTTGATCAATAAAATGCAACAGAATAAAACCCATAACAAAAAAAAGAAGCAGAAGATATGGTTTAATAATCAATTTCTAAGATTAAGGCATATATCGAATATCTTAAATATTTCCATTAAATTTTATCTATTGTATATTAAGATGATGAAGATAAACCAAGAGGACTTAGAGCATCAATTGTTTATACTGGTATTATGGGTAGTTTAGCTGTACTTTTTGTATTTGGATAACCTAATAATATAAGTCTTACTCTAACACTTGCTTTATTTACTGCTCCTGTAAATAAAATATATTAAATTGCATTAGAAAAGATGTTAGTACACAAAAAGAAATTTGTAAGAATTGGAGGTGCTATTGTTATGATTTTAACTGCTGCATTTATATCTTATACTATGCTTGCTGGATTAGTATTAAGTGGATCTGTCGAAACAACAAATTAATGGAGTTATATTTTTATTGGAACTTTTAGTTTAGACAATCTTATTTACTCTCCTATTTAATTAGTATTTTAGTATGGTATACATATGGGATTAATTAATATGCCAATCATTTAAAAATTGATGAACAAAATACTCGATTCTAAGGCTAAGGAATTTCTTAAAAAAATATTTACCAGAAGAAGATGAAGTAACAAATAATTATTATATTTGTATCATTATATTAAATAATCATTCTTCATAATTTTCATATAAAAAACTATTAGATCTAGAGACTAATGGTAATGACCCTATTTGAAATAGTAAAGAATTAGTTTGTTAATCAATTCTATTTAGTAGAATCCTATTGCAATCGTAAAAGAATTTAGCACAAAAGATCTATAGAGAGAATATATTTGCAATTAAATGTGTTTACTTCTATTTAATATTTTTTAGATTTATTATGTAAAATAACTTAGCAATCTTTAATTTAAATTAATTATTCTTTTTCTTAATTGAAATGATTTTGTATTTTCCTCAAATAGTTACAATCTGATCAAACATTAGTGGTCATTTTATAATAAAATATAAGCAGAAAAGCATTATTTTTTTTGAAATATGGAAATTTGGCATTAATGAAAATTAACAATTAGTCAATTAGTTTAGATCATTAAAAATAAATACGAATGCTTTTGAGTATTAACTAAAAAATTGATGTTTTTAAAGAAGCATATTTTTTTGAAAGTTGTAAATAATCAAAAATTCATCTTTTTGTGATGTTCACTGAAACATCTTAAATATTAGATTGTATGACGAATTTAGATTATTTAATATTTACAGACGATAAATTATAATGGATTCTGGATCTGGCACACTTGTGCATTTGTCTTTAGCCAGTCTTTAAGAGAAGAGCAATCTGATTAATAATTAAATTCTTAAGAAGAAGTTCATCAAATAATAATCAATAGATGCTAAGATTATATTTAAAAATTGAAATTAATCTTACTGGGTCTTACTGGACTGTTAAAAATCAACTCTAACTTTACATTGTTTTCAAAAAGGAAATTAATGATAAAATTAATTTAAATATTTTATTTTTTATGAAAAAATTCATCTCAATAAAATTAATTTTATCTAAATAATGTTTTATAAAAAAATATTCAGAACAAAATATCTAATTTATAACAATTTATTAATTTTATTTGAAAAGGTTCTATTTTTTTGAAAAGGCTTAAAACCGTTAAATAATCAATCTTTTCAAATCATTTTTTAAGTAAATAAATGTGAAATGGAAATTAAAAATAAAATTTAGATTTAAGACCAATTAGTATATTAAGATTATTCTCTATTTAAAACTAAATAATGAGAGTTTAAAATAATTAAAATTTGTACAGCAAGCTATCATTTCAAGAGTAGAAATATATATATAAACCCCAGATTTTATTTCTACCTTATTATATTTTTTGAATAATTAATATATTATTAAATAAAGTAGACTGTTTTTATATAATTCATTGAATGAGATGAAAACTTTTATTTTTTTAGTCATATGATTTATTCTTCAGATGAGGCGTTGTTACTCAATTTGAATAAAGATGTTCAATATTAATTTAGTGATAATTCCAGTTAATTGAACTTTGATTTATTGAATTCTTATTATTTTAATATTTTAAGAAATAGACTCTTTATAAAGATTTAATATATTTATTTGCATATCATCATAATCTGTCAATCCAATAGTCAAATGTATTTAAGAAAATTCGTTAATTTTTTTTTTTTTTAATAATAGATGATTAGGACAATGGTGTTTTTCTTTCTTTTCTTTTGGCAACTACTTCTACCTTCTTGTAAACTTAATTATTAGACTAGAATGCAAATATTTATTGTTTACAGATCTAACAAATGAAAGTATTATAAGTTTATGGTCAGATGAAATTTTAAACCTTCCTCTGTCCTTTTGTACAAATGGACTAGCAGAGAAATTGATAGGTTTAGATACTAGTTTAAATACAATTTATTGGAAGAGAATATTTGCTTTACCAAAAACTCACAGAGTTTATGTTTATTTTGAGTTTTCATTATCTGGAAATTGGAATAATGATGAATTATCGATTTTTGCTAATGATATAAAGGTATACTCTGAAAATTTTAAGCTTACAGATTCCAATCGTGATTGTCTTTAAAGGTATTGAATTTAATGAAATTTAGATTTAAATATGAATCTTAGGCATATTTTATATTATATATGAGATTGGATTCTTTGAAATTTGAAATAAAAGTTAGTAGTACAAACCTTGGAATATATATCAAAAACTTAGTTCTTTTATAGTAGTAATAAAGAGGAAGAAATGAAATTCTAGAATTCATAGATTACATCCCAACATGTGGTTCTAATAATTATTTTTAACAATATTATTGCAAATGCAAGACCAATTTTGTATATGAATAGAATTTGTGTGTAACAGAATGTAGTTAAAATTACTTGTATGATTCAACAGAAAAGGCCTGCTATGCAAAAGATTATTGTACAGCATGTAAAGGAACTTAAACAACATTAATTTGTGATACAGGATATTATAAATATTATGAATCTGATATTATTTAATCAAATTGTGTTAAGAGATGCCCAAACAATTATTATTAAGACGAAACAGCTAAAACTTGTGTAAGTATGAAATCATACCTTTAAACTAATTTAAATGGAGGAGGTAAATAGTTAAATTTATGAGATTAGAATTGGTGGACCATTACTATTTCTTTACAACAATTTCAGAGTTTATGCACTTTTACAAATATAATCATTTAATGGCAACTGTAATATCAGTTCCAGAAAAAATTAAAGAAAGAAGCTTTTTCTATAATGGTGGTATATTTTATATAGGGTCATTTGATACATTTTAATCCTAAAAGGTGTTGATCACATAAAATATTCAGAATTCTTAACATAAAATACGTTTCAGAGCAGTAGCTCATTTTATTGATTTTAACCCTACTAAATTTGACATCACTATTAATGGTGTAAAGTAAACAACTGTAAGTTTAACAATTAACAATTAAAATAGATTATAGTCAACAAAATCAGATTATTTAGCTTATTTAGATTACACTTGGGTAAGAACAGAATAATATCCAATAAGTTAAAATACTTTTCTTTTTGAAATAGAATAGCCAGAATAAGATGGGAATTATATTGGAATCTTTTATTTAGATGATATTAATGTTTATCAATTTTAATGTTACTAGGGATGTAACAGTTGTTTTACATATAATTTATGTACTCCTTGTCTTTATCCAGCAAATAAAAACCCAGCTGATTGTTAATGCTTAACAGGATATGTTATGAAGGATAATTAGTGTATAGGTATTATAGAATTTGAAGTTAGATTGTCCAATTTATTGTACTATGTGTATAACAGCTGGAGAGTGTGTAGATTGTTTAGAATCAACAAAAAGAATAAATTCTCCAATTTGTGATTAATGTCCTGTAAATTATTATTTAGAAAACGGAAATGTAAATTGTTAATCTTGTTAAACTGGATGTCATTAATGCCTAGTTGGAACTTCTTGCGTCTAATGTGCAAATGGATATTTTAGAAATTAAAAAAATTAATGTACTACATAATGTCCAGATGGATAGTTTAATGATTCTAGCAATGTCAATGATCCTAAATGCAGTATTTGTGATAGTAATTGCAAAAATTGTCAAACATTAGCAACAACATGTACTTCATGTAATGGATTAGCTATTCTTGTAACAGGACATTGTTATTTATGTTCTGAAGGTTAATATTTATCAGATACGACTTGTATGCCATGTGTAAATAATTGTTAAAAATGTTCTACTATTATTTGCACAACTTGTTAGGATTCTTTTTATTATAAATCATCAACTAATGAATGCCTTTCTATTTGTGATCCAGGATTTTTTGGTAATACTACTTCTAAAACGTGTGATGAATGTGACTCTAATTGCTAAACATGTTTAGCTGGTACAAATAAGGATTGTGTCACTTGTCCACCAGGAAAAGTGCTTAATCTCTAAGATATCATAAGTGGAGAATGTTTAATAAATTGTTTGCTTGGATTTTATAAAGTAGATGATGGTTGTGCAAAATGTTGGAAAGGTTGTTCTGCATGTCTAGATTCAACTCAAGCTTGTTTAACATGTGCAAGCCAATTCTTTAGATTCAGAACTACAGGTTGGTGTTATGAAACATGTCCTGATGGATTTTATAATAATTAAATAGGTTTTGTTTGTTCTCCATGTAATAGTTAATGTAAGGCTTGCTTTGGATTTTCTGAGATGCATTGTCTATCTTGTAATCCTCCTTTGGCTTATTATCAAAATTAATGTTTAATAGAATGTTATGATGGTTATGGCAGCATTAACAATATTTGTTAACCATGTGCTGCTAATTGTAAGAAATGTTTTGGTACATAACCAAATGAATGTCTTGAATGCATGACTGGATTTTATACTCTTAATAATTAATGCTATGTGAAATGTCCTAAATCATTTTTTGGTATCAGACCTTAATATGTATGCAAATGCATCTATGATAATTGTATATCTTGCAACTCCAATTAGTTTTTTTTGGATAATTAATGTTATTCTGTCTGTCCAAGTGGTTTTTTTGGATATAATGGTTTATGCATAAAATGTGATGTCACTTGTGGAACTTGTTTTGGTGAAGGAATAGAAGAATGTTCTTCTTGTAATAATGGCTTAATCTTATATTAAAACTTTTGTATCTCCAGTTGCTAAGGAAATATTTATCATGATATTCTGCTTAATGAATGTAAAACATGTCATTCTGAGTGTACTGCATGTTCAGGACCTAATCATAATAATTGCACTGCATGTTCAAGTGAAAAACTATTGACAGTTGAAAATACTTGCAAAAATGAATGCACAGATGGTTCATATCCTGTATTAAATGAAAAAAGATGTTATGCATGTCATACAACTTGTAAAACTTGCTTTGGTCCTTCTAATTAGAACTGTGTCACTTGCAATAATTTATTTTAAGCAAATAAATGTGTTAGTACTTGCTAAGCAGGATTTACTCTCAATACTACAGGCACAGCATGTGATTCAGATTTTTCTCTTGTTATAGAAACTTGTTCATATTAATGCTCAACTTGTGAATTATCCCCAAGATTTTGTAAGTAGTGCTCAGGAAATCGTAGTCCAAATCCTCCAAATTGTGATTGCGAATCAGGTTATTTTGATGATGGAATTAACTCTGATTGTCCTAAATGTGCGAATAAATGTTTAACTTGTAAAGGAATTTCAACTGTTTGCCTGAAATGCAAAGGTGATAGACTTTTACCTAATTGTAACTGTCCAGATTATTATTACGATGATGGCGAGGCTGTGAATTGTGTTAAGTGTTAGGATAATTGTAAGGATTGTGATGCTAATGGATGTACATCATGTTTAGGAGATCGAATTAATGTTCCTAGCTGTATCTGTCCAGATGGGTATTTTGACAGCTATTAGATTTATTGTTAACAATGTGCTAAAAAATGTGCAACTTGCAATGGAACTGCAGAATTATGTAATAATTGTTCTGGATAAAGAATAAATAAACCAATTTGTAGTTGTCCATTTGGATACTTTGAAAATTCAGATTTAGACTGCTAACAATGCGCTTCAACATGTAAAGACTGTAATCAATATGGATGTCTATCATGTTTTGGTAACAGAATAGGTCCTATCAATGGAGAATGTAAATGTGATTCTAAAGGTATCAGCAGATTTAGCATAGGATCTGTATATTGTACAGATTGTACTCTAGGAGTCCCATATTTTGGTTTAAATGATAAATTTGATGGATTTTCAATTGATTTTGGTGGATCAGTAGCATTATATTTTACTTTAACGGGAGATTCAGATATTTTGTGCGACAAAATTTTTGATAAAGACACCTTAGCATTGCTTGGAACCGATCCTGTATGCAATGAAGATTTTACTGTAATCTTTGGGGATAATCCAACAATCCAAGTAGGTGACAATATTTAACTCAATACAGAATTCTTACTATAAGGATGTAGTTACAAATTTTTATAAATTTTACCTATGGAACTAGCGATTTCATCAACTATAGATTAAACTACTCATAAACCGGCAGTAAGATTTACAGATAATACTTCTCCAAATGTATGTTAATAATTGAGCATAAAATTTGAAGAAATGTTTTACAATGGAAAATAGAAGCTAAAAGTAATATCATGGAATCAAATACTTCCTATAAGTGTGGATCCAATCATATCTCAGATATTATCTGCTTATTCATTAAATAATAGCGAAACCATAACTTTTCCGGATAGAGTGTTTTAATCAGGGATTCTCTATAAATTTGGGGTAACAATTGAAAGCTTCGCAAAATTGTAAAATGTCTAAACATTTTAATTTCAAGCATAATAATAATCAACAATAACTTTTAAATAAAATACGCTAATAATTTAATATAATAGATTTTAAAACATAAAAATTCCAAATAAGATCTCGTATGCAAATTGCATAGAATAAAATCCTCCATAATAATTGTTATATTATGAGATAATATTAAAAAACACAAACTAAAGACTCATAAATGGAACATTAACAGAAAATTTAGTGGATGGATTCGAATATGATGTTTTATTAGATTTCGCACCATTTTATTTCAATTTTACAAATCCTTATATTCTGGTGTTCAAAACAAAATTAAGTAGATCAGATTACACAACAACTAGTTAAAGCACTTTTGATATTTACATAGTTCCTTCATCACCTATTTTAACAATAACAGGAGGAAACAGAATGTTGGGATTTTCATAGGAACTACTTTTAAATACAACTATAGCAGATAATGATTTAACCGTAGATGAAGCATCAAGAATATAATATCATTGTTATTGGAGTTGTGAAGATATCGTTTTAGGAACATCTTGTATGAATTAAATGAATGAAACTCTTACTTTTGATAATAATTGCAATTAATTTTTACCTGCTAAAACGTTTGCTCCTTATAAAGCGGTTAATTTTTAAGTGAAAATTATTAAAGAAAATTTTAACTATTCAACAAAAGTTTCAATTTAACTTATTGAATTAGATTTACCTGCCTTGAGTATTTAAGGAGGTGATCCTTTCGAGGTCTATAATTATTATGATGAATTCATATTTAAACTTAACTATCCAGGGATTAACCCTGATATTTTAATGTATGCAGGAGCTGTTATTTATGATTAGATAGTTTAAGCTACTTTTTAGTTTTATTATTTAGACTTTAAATTCAAAATACTGGATTATTTCACTAATTTTGAATAAGCTAAAGGAAATGTTGGACGATTGAGATTATCCATTTATGATCCTAGATTCATTATGCCTTCATTGAATACTCAAATTTTGACAATGAATATACCACCATAAAAGTGTGAATTAAATTATAAAAAGAAGGAGAGCTTTGTTGAATTCTTAGACTATCTTGAAGTGAATATCATTAATTGTGAAGATCTTGATACTCCATTGAAATATTCGGTGATGTTATTTCCTAATTAATCAATCTATAAAAATGATATTGAGAATTCCAAATTTTATCATTACACTCTTGTTATACCTCCATAATAAAAATCTAAATTTAATTTGACTCTTCCTTTTGCAAATAATGACGAAAGTCTTATTGTTGTAAACATCCAAGATTCAATTGGTGGAATTGCAAACATAACAGAGCCTATAATTATAAAATAATATGCTAATTTAAGTGAGACCAACATCAGAGACTACTAAAAAAGATTGAAAACATTTGATGAATAATTAATAGGATATAAGATTATAACTGATAGACTTACTTAATTAAGTGGTTTGATTGATTATAAAGAAGAATTATTTAAGGAATTGTTATCAATTGATAAGAATGACTCTTTTTTAAGTAATTAAACTGAAATTTTATATAATTCATTATCAAATATTTTGAGTTCGAATGTAAGTTTAATAGGATTAAATGAAACACACTTATTGTTTTAAGTAAATAATAGAATCAAATTGGCAGCTGCATAATTAATGATTTTGAGCGAATTGTAAAATAATAATAAATTGAGTTCAGAGTAAAACATAGAGAAATCTAATTATGTGAAATAATATTACACTTATACAAATATCCTGTCATCTTATATAAATTACCGAGTAAATAAAAATGTAACAGCAACTGAAATACAACAATAACTTGATATTATGATGAATTATCTCTAAGATATTAGTGTAGCTAATGAACCTATGTATAAAGTATCATCTAATTCAGTAAATTTGAATTTTGGATTCTTAACATCTAAATTAGCTACTGATGCTATTGGTTCTTCAATCAAAGATAATAGTAGAAATAGATTATTGGAGGAAGAGTTAGAGAATACTAATTAAAATTATAGCAATTCAACAAATTT